GTTTACTATATATTTTTTTATAGCTGAAAGTAAAAAAATATCATTTTTCTTCAAAATTGTTGGTCTATTTTTGTTTATGGCGTGAAAAATTAAAAAGCACACAGGTGATCAAATACCACCGAAAGAAAGCTCTATTTGTGTGAAAAAAGGACGTAAATTTCGTTTGGGTGCAGCATTGCATGACCGCGCAATTATCAGTTGAATTAGTGCAGTGCCGAGTAGCAAAAAGAGGCCTGGTCATTAAGGGGGGTAAATCCTCAGGAGGGCAAGTGGTTAAATTCATTTTTCCCTCAATATTCTACAAACAGTAACCCCATAATGACAATGTGAAAGATGTCTGTTTTGAAATCTTTGCAATTTTTTAAAAATAAAAAATTAAACCAAAACACATATACATAAGTATACACAGCCTTTGCTCAATACTTTATTGACGCACCTTTAGCACCAATTACAGCCTCATGTCGTTTTGAGTATGATGCTACAATCTTAGCACACCTATTTTTGGGCACTGTCTCCCATTCTTCTTTGCAGTACCTCTCAAGATCCATCAGGTTGGATGGGGAGCGGCGGTGCACAGCCATTTTCAGATCTCTCCAGAGATGTTCAATCAGGTTCAAGTCTGGGCTCTGGCTGGGCCACTCCAGGACATTCACAGAGTTGGCCTGTAGCCACTCCCTTGTTAAGTGAGCTGTGTGTTTAGGGTCATTGTCCTGTTGAAAGATGAACCGTTGCCCCAGTCTGAGGTCCACAGCACTCTGGAACAGGTTTTCATCAAGGATGTCTCTGTATATTGCTGCAATCATCTTTCCTTCGATCCTAAACTAGTCGCCCAGTTCCTGCTGCTGAAAAATATCCCCACAGCATGATGCTGCCACCACCATGCTTCACTGTAGGGATGGTATTGGCCAAGTGGTGAGCGGTGCCTGGTTTCCTCCAGACATGATGCTCCCAGTTCCTGCTGCTGAAAAATATCCCCACAGCATGATGCTGCCACCATCATGCTTCACTGTAGGGATGGTATTGGCCAAGTGGTGAGCGGTGCCTGGTTTCCTCCAGACATGATGCTTGGCATTCAGGCCAAAGAGTTCAATCTTTGTTTCATCAGACCAGAGAGTTTTGTTTCTCATGGACTGCAAGTCCCTCAGGTGCCTTTTGGCAAACTCCAGTTGTGCTGCCATTTGCTTTTTATGAAGGAGTGTCTTCTGTCTGGTTACTCAACTATACAGGCCTGATTGGTGGAGTTAAATACATAGTTAGTATGGCTGAAAAATGACAAAAGTTCATCCAGTTCAACCATAAAAAAAAAGTTATATTCCTATACCCACAGTTGATCCAGAGGAAGGCAAAAAAAACCCAGCAAAGCATAATCCAATTTGCTCCTGCTGGGAAAAAAATTCCTTCCTGATCCCCCGAGACGCAATCAGATATTCCCTGGATCAACTTTACCATAAATGTTAGTATCCAGTCATATTCTGTGTATCTAAGAAAGAATCCAGGCCTTTTTTGAAGCAATCCATTGATCTGGCCAGAACCAACTCTGTGTGCAGAGATGGTTGTTCTTCTTGAAGGTTCTCCTCTCTCCACAGACAAACGCTGGTGCTCTTTCAGAGTGACCATCGGATGTTTGGTTACCTCCCTGGCTATTGCCCTTCTCTCTTGATTGCTCATTTTGGTGGGGCGTCCCGCTCTAGGAAGATTCCTGGTGATTCCAAGCTTCTTCCATTTACGGATGACGGAGGCCAGTGTGCTTATTGGGACCTTCAATGCTGCAGCAATTTTTCTGTACCTTCCCCAGATCTGTGCCTTGATACAATCCTGTCTCGGAGGTCTATGGACAATTCCTTGGACTTCATGGCTTGGTTTGTGCTCTGACATGCACTGTTAACTGTGGGACCTTATATAGACAGGTTTATGCCTTTCCTAATCATATTCAGTCAACTGAATTTCCTACAGATGGACTCCAATCAAGTTGTGGAAACATCTCAAGGATGATCAGTGGGAACAGGATGCACCAGATCTCAATTTTGAGTGTCATGGCAAAGGCTGTGAATACTTATGTACATGTGTTTTTTATTTTATTTTTTATTTTTTTTAAGAAATTGCAAAGATTTCAAAATGAACTTCTTTCACATTGTAATTATGGGGTATTGTTTGTATGGGGTATTGTTTGTAGAATGTAGAGGAAAAAAATAATTTCATCCATTTTGAAATAAGGCTGTAACGTAACAAAATGGGGCAAAAGTAAAGTGCTGTGAATACTTTCTGGATGCACTGTGCATAGCTAGATCACATTTCAATGTATTCAATGTGATTTGTAGGTAGCTGTTTGTAAGAAATGTGTTCATTACATGCATTTGTGAGAGACATGTAGACAAGCATGTTGTATTTTCAGTTTATGTGTTTGCATTGCAGCTTTACAGAACTATTCACAGAAATAAATTCAGTTTTGGAATGAAACACAATGCTGCTTCTGTCAGTTTTGTTAGCTAGTTGTCGGCTAACCTTTAGTAGGACAACACACATGGCTTAGGGCAAAGTGCACCGCTTGTAGTCCATTCCACATACATTGGCAATCTGCTTGCATCAGGGATCCATGGCCACTAGAGGGAGATGTGGATACACAGAGGGTGTTCTGTTCACAAGTAAACCCGTGGTACTGCTATGGGTACTAATTACACACCTAGCTACACCAACTTAATCATGGGTTTTTGGGAAGAGATGTGTATTTATACAGCACATTTTAGTATTTTATAGTCACTGTATACATTATGAATGATATTCTGATCATCTGGCTTGGCCCTAGGAAGCTACAATATACTTTTTGGAATACTGTAATAAAAATATCTTAGGTCTAGCCTTTAGACATGTAAAGACTAGCAGATATTTTTTTTTTCTGGATCTTCCCATGAAGGGAACAGGACTATTACCAAAAACTCATTTTAAACCAACTGTACATAACTCCTATATTTACTACTGGAGTTGTCATCATCCTATATGGAAAATAAATGTTCCAAAATAACAGTTTCGAAGGTAAGAACTGTAGTAAAAAATCACATTATATTAATCAAAGCAAAACCTTATAAAACGATTCAGAGATAAACAGCACCCCAGTGAGCTGATCAATAAAGCTTTTGAAAAATCTAAATGCATCTCCGTCTGACAGAAGAGATAGAGACAAAGGCAGAATACAATAAGGTTTGATTCATTACACAATAAAACCATAATTATGGAGCTATTAAAAAGGACATTCAAAGAAATTAGTTTATTTTGCTACAAGATCTGAAACTTGGACATGTAATACTGAAAACGATTTAACCTCACCTTCATTAGCATGACATTTCAGGAATATAATAGTCCCAAGCAACTTTGTGAGACACCCCCTATGCAGGAAGGATAATTTTCTTTTTGATAATAAAAAGGGTATATTCAGGTACCAAAAATCTCAAAGGGCATCACTTGCCAATAAATATAACACAGTCAAATTTCTTTTAATGCAGGGTGAGAATATTTTGATCAGTCAGTTCATCACTGGCTCCAACAATCATATATGGCCTTATGTGCCCATGCGGTTTACTATTCATAGGTCAAATGAAAAGACTCCCTAAAAAAAAGAGAATAGAGGAATAAGAGGCATATTGAATGTGGTTCCCTTGACCACAGCATCACAGGTAATTTCCCAGTGAAACACAATAAACATTCAGAGGCACTTATGGTTTTTGTGGTTGAGATGATCTCCATCGACATTTGGATTCTGTAAGATTCTGAAATATATAAATTAGACATTCTGACCCTGAAAGGACTACATAGAAGATGGATGTTTAGCATACACTATGGAACACAGGATATACCCTTTCCTTCTTTCTTTTTCTCCTCTTCTAGTTTTTAATGTTGACAATTAAATATGAATTTTATGAAACATTTTAAAAATTTGAGTTTTTTTCTATTTTATAATTATATATAGCGAATCAGACAGCAGTACTCAAGAATACCTGAATACAAAGTAACAGTAAACCAAAATAAAATTGTTGTGCTATCCCTTAACAAAATAATTGTTTGTGTCTACACATTATTTGTGAATACATTTATTTCTAATAAATTGTGTAAACTGGAATATAGCTGAAAGTTTGTGACATAGCTTGAGCTCTGCCAGATCTTATTTTTAGGGGTCTATTTGTCTGGTAAGCAAATAGTGTGTTTTTCTGGTGGTGGAACACTAAAGTGGTATCACGGATTACCAGGATTTTCACTTTAATGGTCAAATTTATAAATTTTGAATGGACAATCATTTATGGACATTTGCTTAACCACTTGCCTACCAGGCACTTATACCCCCTTATTTACCAGGCCAATTTTCAGCTTTCAGCGCTGCCGCACTTTGATTGACAATTGCGCGGTCATGCAACATTGTACCCATATGAAATTTTGATCATTTTTTTCTCACAAATAGAGCTTTCTTTTGGTGGTATTTAATCGCCACTGGGCGCTTTACTTTTTGCGCTATAAATAAAAAATGTGCAAAAAATTTGAAAAAAAAAAAAAAAGTTTCTTTGTTTCTTTTATAAAATTTTTCAAACAGGTATTTTTTCTCCTTCACTGATGTGCGTTGATGAGGCAGCACTGATGGGCACTGATAGGCGGGCACTGATGGGCACTGATAGGCAGCACTAAAGGGCACTGATAGGCAGTACTAATGAGGTGGCACGGATAGGCGGCACTGATAGACAGCACTAATGAGGTGTCACGGATAGGCGGCACTAATATGCAGCACTGATAGGCGGCACTGATAGGTGACACTGATTATGGGTACTGATAGACAGCACTGACTGGCATCACTGATGGGCACTGACTGGCGGCACTGACTGGCACAACCCCTGGGCACTGACTGGTGGCACTGACTGGTGGCACTGACTGGCAGCACTGCTGGGCTGCACTGGTGGGTGGCACTGGTGGGCAGCACTGGTGGGTGGGCACAGGTGGGTGGCACTGGTGGGCACAGGTGGGTGGGCACAGGTGGGTGGCACTGCTGGGCACAGGTAGGTGGCACTGCAGAGTGGCACAGGTGGGTGCACTGCTGGGCACAGGTGGGGGCACTGCTGGGCACAGGTAGGTGGCACTGCAGAGTGGCACAGGTGGATGTACTGCTGGGCACAGGTGGGTGGCACTGCTGGGCACAGGTAGGTGGCACTGCAGAGTGGCACAGGTGGATGTACTGCTGGGCACAGGTGGGGGCACTGCTGGGCACAGGTGGGGGCACTGCTGGGCACGGGTGGGAACTTGCGGGTGTCACTGCTGGGCACCGATCATCAGGGCACTGATCATCAGTGCCCTGATGATCGGTGCCGATCCCCGCTCTGACAACTGCCGGTTCTCGGCAGTACTTTCCTCATGATCTGACAGCGTGAGGAAAGTGCAGCCGAGAACCGGCACTTGCATTTCCCTCTGATCAGTGTGTCATTGGACACCGCTGATCACGTGGTAAAAGGCCGCTGTGATTGGCCTTTTACCACATCACGTGATCAGCTGTGTCCGTAGGACACAACGATCACGGAGATCGCCGGGTGCGCGTCCCCTGGGGCGCGCAGGAGAGCGCGTTCTGGGAGGACGTCATATGATGTCCACCCAGAACTGGCCGGCCGCAGTGCAGCCGTCATTCGGCTATCTGCAGTCGCTACTGGTTAATTATTGTTTGGTTTAACACACCTGTTGTCATTTGTAAAGCTGATTATTTTCACTTTACAAATTATACTTTACGAATAAAATTTTACTGGTTTTAAACGTACTGCACCATCATATCTCTTCTGATTCCTCGAGCTTTGCCCATGTTATTGGAAGACCGTATGCTGCCTAGCTGTTCCATATGTGCTGATTGGATCACTATTGGTTGCTGTTCCTCTACTGGGATATCCTGCAGATCATCGCTCCCTGAGCAAAATGCTATCATGCTGGTTTATAATTTAATCAGCATATAGCTCTGGTGAGTGTATTCATTTCATCTGGTGTCGGATGCGCACATGGGTGTTTTTTTGAAGATTGACATTAAGTTGATATTGGATTATCACTGTTTATGGTGGCTGGACTTATGTTTATATTTATGGATTTTATTTGTTATTTCTAATATTTATCCTTGAATTTTTGTGAATAATTAGCGCACACTTTATTTATTTATTTATACAAAATTTCGCCTTTTTTGGTTAGAGGTGCTGCTTATTATTTTATTTATCTTGTTATTTTCTGTGGCGCTTCTTATATTTGTTACTATATTCACTTTCACACTAATTATATTATATTTGAATGGATTAAGAAATAGTGCAAATATTTTTAATTTGGGTTATTTATTTTACATATAGTTACATAGTCTGACAGAAAAAAGACAAAAGTTCATCCAGTTCAACCATAAAAAAAAAAAAAGGTTATAATCCTATACCCACAGTTGATACAGAGGAAGGCAAAAAAAAACAGCAAACCATAATCCAATTTGCTCCTGCAGGGAAAGAAATTTATTCCTGATCCCCTGAGAAGCAATCGGATATTCCCTGGATCAACTTTACCTATAAATGTTAGTATCCAGTTATATTCTGTGTATCTAAGAAACAATCCAGGCCTTTTTTAAAAGCAATCCACTGAGCTGGCCAGAGCCAACTCTTGAGGGAGTCTATTCCACATTTTCACAGCTCTCACTGTGAAGAAACCTTTCCATGTTTGGAGATTACATTTCTTTTCCTCCAGACGTAAAGAGTGCCCCCTTGTCCTCTGTGATGACCTCAGGGTGAATAACTCTACACCGAGTTCACTATATGAACCACTGATGTATTTATACATGTTGATCATATCCCCCTTAATCTCCTCTTCTCAAGAGAATAAATTCAGTTCCTCTAATCTTTCCTCATAGCTGATCTCCTCCATGCCTCTTATCAGTTTGGTTGCCTTCTCTGTACTTTCTCCAGTTCCCCAATGTTCTTTTTGTGAATTGGTGCTCAAAACTGAACTGCATATTCCAGATGAGGTCTTACTAATGATTTGTACAGGGGTAATATGATACCTCTCTCTCTGGAGTCTATACCTCTTTTAATACAAGAGAGGATTTTGCTCGCTTTAGAAACTGCAGCTTGGCATTGCATGCCATTATTAAGCTTGTGATCAACCAGAATCCCCAGATCCTTCTCCACCATTGATTCCCCCAGTTGTACTCCCCCTAGTATGTATATGTTTTATATTATATTATATTTTTTTTATGCTTTATTATAATTAATTTTACATACTACATAGACCCGGTGCTGATGTACATTTTGGATCTATTCAAGTTGTTTTGTAATCCTTTATGAATTCATAGCATGATTTATATTTATCTATTTAGTTTAGTTATTGGCTGCAATGCCATTAGAAGTTAATAGCACATTCGATAATCCAGATCCCTCCTTCTCTGGCCATGGGGCGCTTTTATTTGCAATCCAGCCTCCACACAGATTTTCTCAGCTTCCTGTTAATGGGTGACATAAAGAGAAACACAGCACCTCCAGGGAGTTCACAGAGAATTGCCAGGCTACCACATCAGGCTTTCCATCTCCATTTCTCCAGAGCTCCCTATCTTCCAGCTGGTATCCTTGCTCACTGTTTCCTGAACCCAGCTATGAGGCGCTGTGCATTATTAACCCTTTATGAGCCTACTTACTACTATTCATATGAGAGTTGTTAAACTTATGTTTTACCATTAAAACATCTTCCAGTCTACACTTAGAGGCGCTGTGTTTCTCTTCTTGTTTTACTTCAGAGACATTGCTGTACTCTATCACAGCTCGACGGGTGTTTTTAGACTGCATACTCCCCTGTCAGTTTCTGACCTCACATCCAAGAGACTATGTGGACTGCTCATTCCATGTACATGTTACCCCTTTGTTATCAGACACCAGTCCATAAGCATGCACAGCATTGTCACCATAGGATACATGGTGCCACAAAAGCTGATGTACACCTTGCTGACAAGTACCACCTTATAGTCCACAGCAGACCATGCTAGATCAAAGCTTCCTTTTACTTAAACCTGTCCACCCAACAACATGGTTGACTATGCGTCCTGTCTCTACTGCTGGCTATGGATTTCTGGCCTGCATGCTTAAGATGATGTGATAGGCATTCAGGGAAATGTAGTTGTATGGACTCTGTCAGGACGTAGGATGCAGACGTGTATACACATAAATGGTGCTGGCAGAATTGGCATGCTCAGAGGTGAGTTTTTAAGCAATAAAAAAGCATATTTGCATGAGTGTTTAAATAAGAGTCAGCAGTCTTAGTATTTGGAACATTCACTACGAAACCAGCCATTTTATTAGAGAGTTTAATTCTACTTTAAGCTTTTGATATGGAAACAGAGAATAGGGTTTATCCTTAGAAGGCAAACTAGGGATCAAGTCTGTAAGCAGTATATCTTATTTGTAAGCAATGGATATTGAAATGTAACCTCTTTCTCTAGATAACCAGAAAGCATTGGATTCTCTCGACTCTGCTTATTTTTTTGCTCTAAGGTGATGACATTTTAACCTGGCTACATTCCCTACACAGTAATCCCTTTTATGAAGTCAGATATTTTTGTTTTTCCTCTGTTTTCCTATAGCCTGATTCATCACCACTCTTGTTCATGTTGGGATTAGAGCTGTTCGACATAATTCAAATATAACTGGAGTAGAATTAGCCAACACATATCAGAAATTGTCACTCTTTGCAGATTATATTTTCTTATTTGTCCCATCTATTTTGCCTAATTTACATAGAGTATTAACTTGATTTTAAGAAGCTTACTGTGAATACTGAAAAATCCCAGTGCATGAGTATATCCTTACTAAGCATACAATATCATTACAGATATTTATATTTATCCAATGCCTTTATAGAAAATAGACCAGACACAGTGGATAGTGTCTCTGGGATGTTCTCATCCAAATAACTAAATTATTTTAAATAGTTAATGGATATTATTATTTTATTTATTTCAGGTACTTATATAGCGCCATCAATTTTATGCAGCTGTTTACATATATATTGTACATTCACATCAGTCCCTAACCCTCAAGGGGTGTACAATCTAAGGTCCCTAACTCACATTCATATACTAGGGCCAATTTAGACAGGAGCCAATTCACCTACCAGCATGTCTTTGGAGTGTGGGAGGAAACCTGAGTACTTGGAGGAAACCCACACAGGCACAGGGAGAACATGCAAACTCCTGGCAGGTGCTGCCGTGGTTGGGATTTGAACTGGCGACCCTGGTACTGCCAGGAAGAAGTGCTAACCACTTAGCTACTGTTCCTCCCCGTGAAATGGGGAGGAACCACGAAAACTAACAGAGCAAAAATCACAGATTATTCTTAGGTCTGATTTTTAAACTAAAAATCATTCCAAAATCGATCCATGTATGGCCGGCCTAAGACTATGTTCACACATGCAGCAATTATCTGCGGTCAGGGACAGATGATCAGCCCTGAAAGCAACACAATTGCACTCAGAGCTGATCATCTCTCCCCAACCACAACCAATCACTCCATGTGTGACTACATGCAAACAGCTGTCAACAAATGCGTTCGCTGTCAGCCTGTCTCTCATTTGTATAGGCTTCCCAACCGCGGCTGTTCACATGCGACTGTTATTCCTGCTGCAGGAACCCACTGTCTGTATATAAGAGGGGGAGGCAGCAGTGAATCTCTATCATCTGATGACATAAAGACTTCACCACCAATTTATCTCTCACTCAGAGCACCACTGCAATAAGCAAAAATAACAGCCAGTACAAAAAAAAAAAAAAAAACTTGATCTGCAAAAGCTCTTTGTCTCCTTATTTACTGCTGGCATTGGATAGTGTCTATGAGATAAAGGCATTCAGGGAACCAAAATATTTGATATAGTTATTAGATGGTGTTATGGGCTTGCTCACGGGGTATGCACCTGGGCACACCATAATCACTCCATGCACAATAGAATTCTGTGTGCTGGCAGGAGATAGGAAAGATCTCCCACTGAGCGGCTTTGCTTATAAGAGTAGCGTGGAAGCACTTCTATTTCACTCTGAATCTGCAGGCAGGGAAATAATGTGCTAGTGGGGAAATCAGAAAGATCTCCTTTTTGACTGGCAGAGTGCTGAAAGGGAGAGTGGTACTGGCTTTACAACCAATCAGAACACTTGGGGGGGGGGCAGGAGCTCACGTGACCATACGCCAAGCTCCCCGATTGGTTGGAAAAACAGTATTACAGAAATTTTTCAAAGAGAGGTAAGAAAATGATGATGAGCTGTGAATCCCAGCTCTTTTACCCCCTTTTTCTTTTTAAGTTGTTCCAACCTATATTTAAGTTCACGCAGACGCAGTGCAGGTATTATCATTGCAACATCTGATTTTTTTACCTGCCTATCCTATAGATTGTCACAATTGGGGTTTATTCACTAAACT